AATTATTTCTAAAGTCGGAACGTGGATGCAGTACATTCCCAGACGTTTCGCCGGCATCGTATTCGACATCGTCGGTGAGTTTTACTATTCTTAGCACCATTTTACAGCTCGTCAAAGGGACAAGTGAAGCCCATCCTTTGACCAAACGTGTGCTAAACACTTGTCTCTTTGACGAGCTGTAACATGGTGCTACGAATGGCAAAACTCACTGACGATGCCGGCGAAACGTCTGGGAATGTACCACGTCCACGGTCCTGCTCTGGAAATGATGATGCATACTATGCAGTCCAGACAAGTCCAATCCGAAAATCGTCTGTAGAGCCTAAACAGACATGATCAGAGCAAGAATGCAACCCGAATTGCTTTTGTATCCACCTAACTTTACGATCCTAAGATCAAAGACTTTGCCGACTACCTCAACCTTAATCTACATGCTTGAGGACGAGTGAAGTTGATTCTCGTAAAGGAAGTGGATGTGGTGGAAGCGGTTTCCCTACACAAACAAACTAATGCACGATCCTCTAATGTTGAACCATATTTGGGTGTGTCCAATTGCCTATTGTGTGCATGTAGTGTTCACATAATGAGGGGTGTGATAGTCCTGGCCTGACTCGAGACTAGACCAGCCTCTTTCTCTTCCTGTACTCTCTCTCTCTCTCTCTCTCTCTCTCTATCATATCGTTTTCTCCTTAAGCCTATCCAACAGCCACAAATAGTTCCTGCCAACTTTTCTACACTCGTTCCTACTATTCAGCACGTTGGTAGCTTTGTTAATTTCTATAAACTCCTTAATTTCACGCTTTGATGTCAAGTCCTCATAACCCGCGAAACGTTGTGTTATGGACCAGTCTATTGAGTGTCCCGAATAAGGCATGTTCTAATCGCGTAGTCGTGAGGAGGGGGGGATAAAGAGGGTAGGAGCCCTAATGAAATCAGTGGATCATATTCCGGATCTCATCGGCAGCCTCAACGGGATTCAAGGCCGGATTTAAAGAGCCTATTGATATAATTGCCACCTGACACCGAAAAACCTCGTTTGGTATCTCATTTGGTGCTGGTAGCAAGAATCATACAAAGTAAAAAATACAATCCAATCGAGATGGAATGTCCCTATGGGAGACATGAATGCGTGAAATAGCCTGATCTCGTAAAATCTACTATTCAGTTCATTGTGTAAAACTCATCTGCCCGTCCCATCACCTCAGGCGGCATATGATGACTCTTTCATCCAGTTCTGTTGTTCTCGCTGCGCTTACACGATCATTTTTGTGCCGATTTTCTATCTATTAAAGATTTTCACACTCCCGAGGACGGAAAAAATATACGTTTGTGATGGAAACAATGATTAGTTCAACTCACTATTGAATATCACACCGCCAATGAGGGCTATGAAGAGGTAGCATGGCGCAATGAATGGTGTAGTGGAACCAAATGAGGGCACAATCACTGGTGAACTTGATCACTGCTTCCCTCAATGCCCATTGTCCATGACCAAGGGAAAGTTTCGTCTCCGGTTATCCCTTTTTTTAAAGGTTCGGCTGTTATAAGATTATGTGCTCTTTTGGTCGAGCTTATGCTGATGTAATCTGTCCCTCGATCCACCGAAGACTAGCGGTATGTCCGCTATGACACCCAAGACAAGAGAGTCTACTGAAATTCATAGCTTAGGAAATATGTTGAATGTGAGGAACGGTGGTAGAAAGTTGAGTAGGAATTACTTATGCTTGATTTGAAAGATTGAAAGAGAGAGAGGGTGTTGAGCCGCCGTCCAAAAGAAGACGACCCAACTTGTCAGCTGAGTGATGGTTACAACCAAATTAGCACTCTTAATCTTAATAACCCAAATGGATGGGTTCGGACGGGCGGTTTAATAACATGACAATCACGTGTACACACTCACATCTCACCGATTTAACCAGGGTTACTTACGGACTAGCGCAATCTCGGTCATCCTTTTTTTGCTTTTTTTCTGCTTTTTGCTTGGCCCATTAAGCTTTGATGACCCAGGGCTGATGTTCGACTTGTGCTAATTACTCTGAGTTATGACCGATTTCGTGACGAAATGTCAATTTACAAACAAACACAGGCATACTCGAGTATACGTGAATTGACCAAACCTTTCTATATTAATCTAAATATGTAATTTTGATCTAAATGATAATATATACCATGAGAAACTTGATTTAGATGACTCTCCTAAATTAACATTGTTAGGGGGACCTTCATTTTGGATGAAAGTGCATGAAGAAGAGTTTCGTTGGTCGATCTCACCAGATGAGGCTTTTATACGATTTGTCTTCTTGATTTAATGTTAACTTGAGGTTTTTACAAAAATTAGTCCCAGGTCTGACGATTTTCGTCATGTGGCACGACGAACGACAGCTCCGTACGTGTTCGCCCAAAACTTTGGAGGATATCTTGCGGACTATCTCAACCTGAAGGTCGTAGTAATGCTACATTGCCGCAGTACAACGCGAATCAGCTGACGTCTTCTGGTCAGATTGACCCACGAATCGCATGTACTTCCATACGAAATGAAACTCTTGACGTCAATTTCTCTTTATACATTGTTTCTATTTTTCACTTCCTCAGTAGATGACCCAACTTTTTCGCAAGCCGACAGGAAGGCAAAATCAAGAAACGAGTAGAATGGTCCAATTTTCCATCCCTCCCCAGATAGTAAACTCCGACAGTTAATATGCCATTGTCTAATAATCTCAATGGCTAATTTTTTTTGAATGGCATATTTGCCAATGTCATGGTCCCTGCTGTTTATTTCTGCCAGACGAAGCCTCCTTATTATCATAGACGTCATAACTCCTATTTTGACTCTATATGTATGATTGAAGAAGATAGTGATGAGGAAACCCTTCTTATATACGTCACTACCTAACGTATTACCTTCCTTGTTCGCCAATACATCCGAAAAAGGCAATTTATTTTACTTTTCTAACTTCATGGTAAACTTAGTATTGGTCTTTATTCTATTTACTAGCTCAAGGAATTCCCCCAAATTATATTTGCCGTATTGCCAAACAGCAAACTAATCGTCAATATAACAAACTAATAACTTTGTAACTAGGATTGCCTCCTGAAAAACTCTAACTTCTAATTGGGTCATGTAGTCATTAGTTAAAATAGAGACTAAACAAAATCTCATTGTCGAGTCCCATGTTTGCTCATAAAATTTACCACTAAAGGTAAAATTAGTATTATTTATTGTCAAAGTGATTAATCTAATGATTGAATCGTCGCCTTACTTTTTACCCGTTGTGATCTACAAATTATGGTGTAGTGTAAACTCTTGCCTTGTATGTCATTCGGAGAGTCTGTCAGTTTGTCAGTCTGTCAAGCTATCCGTCGGTCGGTCTATATGCAGGACATTCAATAAGTCATTCAATCGTTTAATCACTCAGTCTTTTGGTCTATCATTCGGACGCACTGAGAGTCGATCGGTCTTTCAGTCTGTCACTTAGTCTGTCTGTCTATCTGTATTTCTGTTTGGCTGTCTATCTATCAGACGTCTTATCGGTCCATCGGTCTGTCAGTCGGTCGGTCCGTCTATCTGCTGGTCAATCGGTATGTCATTAGGCCTGTCTATGTTTTCGATGTTTTGTAGGTCTGTCTATTGGCAATTCGGCCGTTCGTTCGTTTGTTAGTTTGTTAGTTTGTTAGTTTGTTCGTTTGTTCGTTTGTTCGTTTGTTCGTTTGTTAGTTTGTT